TTCTGAAGAATGTTGATTTTGTGTGAAAGCATTACTCTGAAATAGTTTTCAACTGAGTGAGGCTGGTTTTATAGTTGGGTAATTATTTATGGTATAACAACTGATTTGAAAAGCTGAAACCTTCACAGAGAATTGTAAAGTTCCAATGTCATTCTAACATAATTTTCTTTTGATGATCAGAAATATTTCCTTATTTTTTTCTAGGTATTTTCTGTATTTACCTGCATCTTGTCTTATCAGTATTTTTCCTCTGTAATGTATGCAAAATATTATCTCGGCTTCACTTAGTGAAAAACCCTCAAAAACGGGAACTCTACTGTCCTGAGTTAAATATTTATAGAATTGGGAGAATTACCTTTATCATATTGAAATTCACATCTTAACCAGTGAACAGTCACCCTGGAAAACAGAAGAAAGGACATATAAGTCTTTCAAATTATTTCTTCCTTTCCGGAGTATGAAACATACCGTCCAATAGCAGTTTAGGAAAAACAAATTTCTTTTTCTTTACACCAACAGTTGCCCCAGAAGATCCTAGCAGAAAGGTAGATGGTGATACCATTATTTTCTCACATGTGCAAGAAAGGTCAAGTGCTGTCTATCAGTGCAATGCTTCTAATGAATACGGATACTTGCTAGCAAACGCGTTTGTGAATGTTTTGGGTAAGAAACAGATTTTATATTTTTCAGTTCTCTTGTATGTTCAGTTGTCTCCTACTACTACATGAATAGCATGCTCAAGCCTTGCTTCAGGTCTTCAGTGGGAATGGACATATTTCCTGAGCCCTGTAAAAGGCAAGAGTATACATACCTTGGTTTTTGTAGGATATTCCTGAATTTCTCTTTCATTATTCCTAAGTAAGACAGATAGTTGTGAAAGCTGGGGAAAACTTGGAAGAAATTTTATTTGTATTTTTGTTGTTTATTTTTGTAAATCAAACAAATGGAAGCATAACAAATAAAGCAGGAATTAATATTCCTTATGTAAGTATGTTTCAGTACACTTTCATTGATTGTGAGTGTTTTGGATCCGTTAAATAGATGATCTCTAAATTGCTGTTGCAAGGTAACATGATTATGCATTTGTCTTAAAGGCCTCCTAAGACTGTGTTTCTATTTACAAGATATCATGACCTCTCTTATTCTTCTCGCTGAATTTAACAAAGCTAGCAGCAAAATCCTGGGCAGAATGCCTCTGAAGATTGTCCTGCAGGAATTGGCAGATCTTTTGATTGAGAGACACTATCTTGTAAATGAAAGAACTCACTTTAGTTCCATGGTTCCTTTAAAAAAATGTAGGTGCTTCACCAAAAATACATCTTAGCTTCTTTCTGCCTGCAGGTTTGTTCAGAATTATGTAGTTCAGTCTGTTCCCAGGAGTTTCTCTTCTTGAAGTATATTCTGATTTGAATTTTCCAAATGAAATCATTGCCTTTGGTGCCCATCCCTATTACTTGTAAACAGGAAAGAAGCATTTGTTTTTCATAAGATAATTCTCCTACATTAACGTTTCCTCAGGCTACTGGCAGTAGAACGTATTTGGATCTAGACTGAGACGAGAAATCACTTCAGAGAAGAATGTTAACATATAATTCTTTAGGCCATTCTTGATGTCTTAGTATTTTATGTTTGCATCTTTGTATCTATATCCAGATATCTTTATCTTTTCAGCTGAACCACCAAGAATTCTAACTCTTGCTAATAAGCTGTATCAAGTCATCGCAGATAGTCCCGCGTTGCTAGACTGTGCATATTTTGGTTCACCTAAGCCTGAAATTGAATGGTAAGCTCTAGTTATTGTGCTTAAGTTACCTAATAAGAGCCAATTATATCTATGGAAACAAAAATTTAAAGCTTTAAAACTATTTTTGCTCTATTTAAAATTTTAAAATGGTGTACTTTTAAATATCTGCTGATTACAATAGGCTAATACGATATTACATACGCTTAACGTAACCACAATGAAGTTATCCCTGCAGAGTCAAGTTTAAATTTCATTATGTGATTTTGTCTATGTTTTCTCATGTGGCAGTCCCAAGTTTGCATTTTCCTATAATAAAATACAACAGAATTTAACTGTGATGTTGGATAATGATACTGCTTTTTATGTAAAGGTTTAAGGGAGTAAAAGGTAGCATCTTGCGTGGAAATGAATACGTTTTCCATGATAACGGAACCTTGGAAATTCCGGTGGCTCAAAAGGATAGTGCTGGTACATACACATGTGTAGCAAGGAATGAATTAGGAAAGATACAAAATGAGGTGCAGTTGGAAGTTAAAGGTAAGAAATGAATCCCTCTTTCATCACAGGTTAGTATAGAATTTCTGACTTTCTAAATATCTAATAGTAATTTTAAATTTCAGATCCAACAATGATAATTAAACAGCCAGAATACAAAGTGATTCAGAGATATGGCCAAGTTTCATTTGAGTGTATAATAAAATATGATTCTACCTTATTGCCAACAGTTATATGGTTGAAGGATAACGATGAGCTGCCAGATGATGAAAGGTATGGACAAAATTATTTTCCTTTATTTTTAATTTTCTGGTTTCTTTTGTCTGCTCCTTTTCCTGATCTTTGAAAGGAACATATTGACCTATTGACATTTTCAAAAGAAGACTGATAAATATCATCCCTGTGTCATATTTGGTGACTAAAGGACTTACCTAATATGGTGAAAATACTAAGATTCAAAATAAAATGAGATGTAAAAATTTTAATTGTGCACATGGACCGTGTATATCAATTGTAAGGAGAAGATAATTGGCATAGAAGCCAAAGGGATAATGTAAGGCTATTTTACTCTAAATCACAAGTAATTAAAAGTTATTTTATTATATTTGGAAATAAAAGCACATTAGGATAGACAGTTACTGTGGAAAGATGGTCAAGAGCAATGTAGAAAAAGCTGACACTCTCCCTCAGCTCACATCGCTGTCTAGGTGTCGTGGTTTAGGCGGCTCTGGCAACTAAACTCCACACAGACGCTCACTCACCTTCCCCTCACCCCCCGGGGATGAGGAAGGGAGTTATAGGAGAAAAGGAAAAGAGACCCATGGGTTGAGATAGGAACAGTTTAATACTACCGCTACCAATATCTATATGTACAGATATGTACAAGGATAAATATATAGGAACGAGTGATGTACGGTGTAATTGCTCACCACCCCTTGACCGAGGCCTGTCTCATCCCGAACTAATGATCCCGAAACAGATAAATCCCAATACCGCAATCCCGGACGAGCCAGAGGCCTGAAAATAGAGACCGAGACAGAGAGAGCACTCTGAGAGTCCGAGAGTGAGAGTCCTGGAAGGGCAAAGGCCCTTCTTTCCGGCTGACCCTTACTTTTGTACTGGACATGACACTGCATGATATGGAATACTAATTGGCCAGTTCATAGAATCATAGTTCGACCCTCAATCCTAAGTTTAAGTACAAATCATAAGGACAGTCGTGGACCCTCTGTCCTGGCTCTGCTCCCCCCTGTCCTGTTGTGCTCCTGCACACTGGCAAGAACATGGCAGCTGGAAAGTCCTTGAGACCTCAGTGCCAACTGTAAACATCAGTGCGCTATCAACGTTCTTCTCAGAGCAAGTCTCAGACTAAAACCAAAACACGGAGCTCTTCTAGCTGCTAAAAAAGAAGAGCTGACTGTGTCCCAGCTGAAACCAGGATACTAGGTATTTGCTGGAATACATGAGTGTATGGGGTTTGATAATGTCTTATGCAAGTTTCTTATAACAGTACCAGTTATTGAGAAATCAGTGGCTGAATCTATTGTATTTACAGGTTTCTAGTCGGTAAAGACAACTTGACCATTATGAATGTAACTGATAAAGATGATGGAACATACACTTGTATAGTTAATACTACTCTGGACAGTGTTTCAGCAAGTGCTGTGCTTACTGTTGTTGGTAAGATTACTCTCAAACTTTATGATAGCAGAACTGTATTTAATTACTGTTAAGTATGAAAACAGCATTAGACTTAAAGTGAAGAGCACAAACATAGTTTTGGTTTCTAGGACAGAACAAAGGCAATGTCACCTATTTGTAAATGTGTTTCAGTTTTTTAAAAATACAGACTTACCCTAAAGTTTGCCTTTGAATCTGCTACGTACAAAAGGGTCCAGTAGCTACAGGACACATTTGGTTTCATGCCGTATAGGTTATTATTTAGATCATATCTGAGCTAAAACAGTTGATTGCATATTACAGAGTATTTGAACATAAACACGTTATCTCAGGAATCTCTTTGCAGCGAAGTTATGCTTCAGAAAGACTGAGCATGCTTGGTTGTATGACTTCTCAAGGATTTTTTTTTATTTGAATTAGTTCTCTCTGTTAAGTTTCTATGATTGCACATTGTTGTAAATATGTTACTTTGCCCCATCTCCCAATTTGTGAGAAAGTTTTAAGTAATGTCCTGAATGATTCTTACGTGAGTTCAAGCTGAGATTCAAAGTCGAGTGTGCTTGTGTTTTAAAATTGTGTTGTGATTGTATGCCTGTCTAGAATTACATATACCAAACATCGAGTACTTATTTAAAGGTTTTTTATGTAAGATTGCTTACTTTATTTATTTTCTTGATCTATCTATATTTTAAAAAAAGGATAAATATTAGAGAATACTTTTATAACTTTTCAATGAAAAATTATCAATATATTACTTAAAATCAACCATTTGCTCTGAATAAGTTAACTTTTCTTTGTCTAATAATTATAGTCTTTAACGACCTACAATATTCTGTTTCTTTGGCTACTAACTGATTAAATCCTTTATATTAATATTCTTTTCAGCTGCTCCCCCAACTCCAGCTGTCATTTACGGTAAACTAATACGAAGTTGTCTTTCTACATCATCTGCCAGATATTTTTCTCATTTGCCTATTGCCAAGTGCAACGTCTTTTCTTTTTTTTCCCCTTTTTCCTCTGTGTGTGTGTGATGTCATCCTATTTTACCAACTGCTTCATTACTGGAGTACTGGACTTTGGAATTTTACAGTGCAGGCTGCTTTGTGGTTTAGGGAATAAATAATTTTCAGAGAGAAATTATTTTTAGTTAAAGTTGATTACAGTGTGATAATGCTTTTCTTATAGAGGACACTGTTATGCAAATTAGTTACATAATAAATGAAAGATTTAAAAAGTAAACCCACCTGTTCCTTGAAAGCTAGTCAAAGAACTTGCACCAACCAAATTATGGTGTGTTTTTATGTTGCTTTTGATGACAGCTTTGTAGGCCTGGTGTACATAGTTTGTCTTCATTTTACTTCATTCATAAAATGGATAGATCCATATTGACCAGTTTGGTTTATGACTGATGAAATTGCTAATAAGGATTTTAAAATTAAAGCCGAAATTCCTCCAAAAATCTACCAGTCAGGTGCAGTCTTAAACTTGACAGCATACAGCTTTTAATTCAGAAGCATTTTTTCTGAATTTAGATTTTAAAATGCAATATAATACGCCTAAAACACTTTTAAGTGTGAGCGACTTAAGCACTTTTATGTAAATTGTATCACATTCAGTGAAAATGCTCATGTATTCTTGAGTGAACTTACTCATTAGCCTTGATTTTTGTGTAAGAAATCATATAATGAATTCTTTTCAGCAATTTGGAATAGACAATTACATCTTTATGCAGTATAAGGATGTATATTAACAGCTTGTTTGGTATTTCAGGATTTTTTAAAACTACAGCAAAAACCAAAGGACTTAGTAACTTGCAATTAGTTTCTATTTGAACTATACTTGTTTTGAATTCACATGTAAAATATTGTTAGTGATCCTAGAAAAGCTTCTTTGATGTGAATGCTTCTTTATTTTCCATGTTTTATTAAATATTTCTAGTTACAATAGATAACCACCCGTAATCATTCAAAGGTAAACTAAACATGTATCTCATTACATTTTTTATACCACATTGCAATCAGACTTAGATAAAATAAAATTTGGCTTCTTGTGAATGTATAGAAGTTTCTAGGTGCATCAGTTCTCCATTTTATCTCTGTTTTGTAACAATTGCATGCTGATGGTCATTAAGTCATGCTTATGTCAGTGAGTAGATCTGCCCTGGTGTATTCATGGAATTCTTTTAATTGGAATGTAGGGATTTTTTAAAAGATGAAACTACGTATTCTGGTGTGATTTTTCACTTTGTGTTCATTTGATTTACAGCTCGGCCAAATCCACCCTTTGACTTGGAATTGACAGGTCAGCTAGAAAGGAGCATTGAACTCTCATGGATACCAGGAGATGAAAATAACAGCCCCATTACAAGTATGTTTGTTTGTATCTGTTGCATTACATTAACAGCATTACATTAACTGTTCTCAGATTCCAAAGAGTTCTCTGATAAATTTTGTGTGCATCATGGGAGAAAGGTAAATTTATTTGCTACAGTTGCCATTTATTTATATAACAAAAATTCACTGAGTGTCCTCTACTGTACAGCCAAGCAGAAATACTTATTTACTGCCTTAAAAAGCTGGGATTTTGATTCAGAAACCTGTGCTAGTTAGCATAGAAGTTGGTACTGATGTGAGCTCTGTATGACAAGGGCCAGTCTTATGAATGTGTAGAGAGTAGATTAGTTCATTAGTTGAGTAAAAAGTTACTCGTACATGCTTCTGAAGGTGAGAGCTACTAACATCTTGCATTAACTCTTTTGTAATTCCCATGAAATTAAAATAACATTAGTACCAATATCTTCAGGGATTATCCATCACTACTGATAGAGGCTTGTTCTTAATGAAAATATTAAAAAGATAGTTTTTCTGTTTTTTTTTCTCATCCAGGCAGTTCAAGGAATAAAGCATATCTATAAGACAGAGAAAATAAACATCTATAAACTTTTGAGACAGGAAATTTTTCTTAGATACTATTATTCCTCCCAGTAGAACATGATGAAAGATACTCTTGCTTATGTTGAACAGAGAGGATTGAGGGGGAAGTTAGGAGGAAGGATGTTACTGTTTGTTTCCCAAAAAAGAATATGATCAGAAAGATTTATTGGGCAACTTTTTCATGATGAGCAATTTAATGCAATTATTTAATTATTTATGCAGTGCATTTTCAGTTAATAACTGCCACAAGTTACTAAGACCAGTGTACACATTATATTTGTAATGAATGAGTTCAGCTGACTTACTGAGTGTTGCTCTCCAGGATCTGATGCTGGTCAGTATCGATACTGAACACAAACCATAGGGATCAGGCATCTGGAAAGGAAGTTTTGTGAAAACAGAACTTCAGAAATTTCAGAATACATCAAAAATTTTGGTGGCATTTTAGTGAAACACCAAAGGATTTTGCTGAAGTTTCACACTTTCAGACTTGTCTAGTGTATACCAACTAGAAATATACTTTTGAAAATATAATAAATAGAATTCTTTGTAAATAGTTGAATTGTATTTAATTTATGGCTTATTCATATACTTGTATCAGTATTTTCATTTTTTTCCCAGACCAGAAGAAAAAAGCCTTGCCTTTCTATAGGAATGAGATCGCACTCTTTCAAAAGAGATGATACTAGTTAGCTCAGGTCAGAATTTTTTTAGAAGCGAAATATTGTGTGCACTCTGATATTGGAAATTAAACTCTTCTGAATAAATATTGCTGGTTTTAATTATGATACAATTTATATTGCTGTGTGATCTTCTGAGAGCCTGCAAAATAAGGCATTTGCTTCATAAGTAAGCCTATTGTTGCTGCTGCTACTGTTATCACTTCAAAGTGCAGCATATCAGAACTTGATCAGAACTCAAGATAGCAATTCATTATGAGTGATTCCTTTACATAAGTAACGTGATTGACATGCTAGAATCTCTCTGAAAGCTCAAATAGATTTTTTTTTTTCCTTATGTCTCCTATAAATTGTTCTACTAGAGTTGTAGGTAGAATGCTAGTTACTAGGGAAGCAAAAAGCAGTACTGAAAACTTTGTTGGTGCTTTTTTTTTAGCATGTAATATTCTCACCTTTGCAACAAAGACTTTGGTCCAGAAAACATCACCTTTATCTCTGAGCACACACCACCAGCTGTAAGACAGACAGTCATTTGGGGCCAGTTCTCCCTCTTTCTTACTGCTCGGGTCAGGATGAAATCTACAAACCTTTAGGCCGGAAGGCTGTGATTAGTACTATTACCGGTTTTACTTCTTGAATATCTTGGCTCCTCAAATTGTTAAGCATTATTTGTATGTGATACTGTAAGTATTCTTCTAAAAACAACTTCTATTTATCCCTCAGAATATCTTTAGTATTGCAAACAGGATGTGTTCTGAGTCATATTCTGGCTTCTTGTCCCCAGCTACACATGAGATAGAGCAAAATTATTGTTATACAACACACGAACATTTGATGCTCATGTAAATTTTGTGTATCTAAACTTAAGGTTCCATGGAATATACTCAGACTACGTATTTTTCGCCCATTTATTTACTGTATCCTAACAATTCCTCATAAGTGTTTCAAAATTTACATCTCACACCTGAGAGCAGGAAGATTTTTTGACTGTTTCACAGCCAAAAAAAAAATAGTCCTTTTGTCTTTGATAATGAGTTTGATTTTCTATTTGGAGTTCTACAAACCTATTTATCCCTAAGGTTATATACTCTTTAAAGTCTTAACAGTAATCATTGTAATGTTCACACAGAGAACTCTCAAGAAATTTAGCTTCTGAACATGCATTTCTTGACTTAATTTGAAGATACTGAAAAGTGCTCTCGAAAACCTTCCTCAAGTATTGATTCTTGACTTTAAATACTTCTTCAATAAGCCAGTCAAATTGGGGAAAACGGAAAACTCAGAGAGTTTTAGTAGTGTTCAGATACTACTTACTGTCGGCTTTATACAACTAAAACTAATGTATTTGTCAGCCGAATATTACTTTTACATCAATATTCCAATCTTGTCCCAATTTCTTGCTGTGATAGTTCAAGGGTTCCTGTTACGTTAAAATCCAGTACCTGAGAGAGAGCTCTTGTAATAACGTATTACCTGACAGGTAGCTCCATCAGTGAGAATACCAAATAATAAAAGTAGGAGTTTTTCCATTATATTTCTACTAAGTCAGTACTTTTGAGATCAGCATTATAGATTTGTGTTCTGGTTTATGTACTTATATTTCAATTCTTAGAACATTGATTGGATCACTACTTTCTGATCAGCTCATTCAGAAATGTCTACACTGATCTAGGAAGGTGTTGCAAGTTTTGGCATAAAGTTGGATTCAATTCCCGTTTACAGGCTTTGTGATTGAATATGAAGATGGGCTGCATGAACCAGGGGTATGGCACTACCAGACGGAAGTTCCTGGAACTCAGACAACAGTACAGTTGAAGTTGTCTCCGTACGTCAACTACTCATTCCGTGTGATAGCTGTCAATGAGATTGGCAGAAGTCAGCCAAGTGAACCATCTGAGCAGTACCTGACAAAATCTGCAAGTAAATAACTATTCCTGCTTTACCAGTGATTAATTTATGCTATGAATGGTGTTGAATTTGCTTGGAATGCACACAGCAGTCATTCTTGTTCATGTGTAAATACTTTATTTTTAGACCCCGATGAAAATCCTTCTAATGTGCAAGGAATAGGCTCGGAACCGGATAATTTGGTAATAACATGGGAGGTAAGTTTAGGTTTTTTGAGGTTTCATCTGTTTGTTTTAAGATCTGTGAGTAGCGTTTTTTTAGAGAAATGATATCTAACTGTGAACATGCCATGGGAGTACCCTATGTGTTACTTGCTTAAAACATTCTTGAAAAAGAGTAAAATCCAGACATTACCCTGTCTTCATTTTCAGGGAAAAGCTGCATGCATTATGAAAAAATAATAATAATTTTAAGGTGCTGTACTTTCCTTGAGTGATTTCTGAAGATAAGTCATTAATTTAGTAATACAGGATGTTTTGCTGCCAATTTAGGAGAACTTAAGTATGTAAATTGTGGTTTATCTCAAGTAGAGTCTTAGTTTTAGAATGCATGCTAATGTGAATCCTAATTCTACCTTCAACTTTTGTGATAAACTAAATTATTGTGCACTCTTCCACTAAAAAACTTTTGTGGAAAAGTTTTTTCTATCATGCCCTGACCATCATGACCGGAGCTTGAGACTCATTGTCTAAGGAACTCTGTTTCTAGGGAGGTGGTATGAGTCTGTTTTTCCTTCTTCCACTTTTTAAGAAATACTTGAAAACAAAATATATATACAGAAATCACAAGGTATGATTGCATGAGTATTAGCCAGAATCACCATTCAGTGTGATTTTCCTAATGAACGAAAAGCAACTGAAATTACCTCCTTTAAAAGCCAAATTGAATAGCTTGGAAATTTCAGCAGTGCTTCTGTGTCACAGAACACAGTGGTAAATTTGGAGTAAAATTCTAAAGAAGAATCAGTATGTTTCCTTTGTGACTTTGGATTTTTCAGATGCTTCAGAATGTTTTTTAAACAATTTCATTTACTCTTTTCGTTTCAGTCCTTAAAAGGTTTTCAGTCTAATGGACCAGGGCTTCAGTACAAAGTCAGCTGGCGTCAGAAAGATGTTGATGATGAATGGACATCTGTCATAGTTGCAAATGTATCTAAATATATTGTGTCTGGCACACCAACTTTTGTTCCCTATGAAATAAAAGTACAAGCTTTAAATGACCTGGGATATGCACCAGAGCCAACAGAGGTGATTGGACATTCAGGGGAAGACTGTAAGTTCTGTAGTTTGACTCAATTGTACTAATTAAAAGCAACTAAATTTGTAACCTAAATGGGTATTTAAAACACTAAAGTACTGAAAAAGGAGGATAGTTATTTTTTTAATTAAAATGAAGCAATTTGAAGATAATAAGGCTTCATAATACTCTGTAGTATTAATCCAGAGGTCAGCTTTTTAACCTGCTCCTTGAATGCAATGTTCGTGTGCTGTCTCATTCTAACTCGGTGCTTGTCGCATCCTTTCCACACAGTGCCAATGGTGGCTCCAGGCAATGTGCAGGTTCATGTTATTAACAGCACATTAGCAAAGGTGAATTGGGACCCAGTTCCAATAAAAACTGTCCGAGGACACCTTCAAGGGTACAAAGTAAGTACAGTCAAAAGCTTTCTGTTCCTCGTTTATTAAAATAGATCACTCGTCCTATAGGAGGCTGTATCCAGATTGAAGTAACTGACCTGTAAGAGGACTCTTGCTTTTCAGTGAGCTCGCAAGTTTTTGCTGACAAGAGCAACAGCATCGATATGATTAATTTAAAATTCAGCAATGTTCCAGCCTTGTAGCACTGGCCTCCTGTGTCCTTGAAGAAAAATGGCATATGTTTGCAACAAGTTTACACACATTATATAGATGAAAAAAAAATAGTAATTTTACAGGTCTTACTCCAAAAGGATGTTTAGAAGATGAAGAGAAATAGTTTCTGTAGGAGTCTCTTCTAGGTCTGATGCTAAGATTACTCATCTTCTGGCATAATGTGATTAATCACATCCTTAATTCTGAGTAACTGACCACTTGTTAGCTTATGCTAGGTGCTATGTGGTTTTGGGAGCCAGGAAAAAGCTCAGTTTAAAAACTCAATTTAAGGAGATAGGAAATGGCAGAAGATTTGGAGTGTACATAAAATTGAAGGAAGCTTAGCATAAGATAGTTTGCTGGCTTTGGCGATAACTGAGAAGGCTGTGTTGGAGACAGAAGGCTGCAATCAGTAGAGAACGGAAGACAGAAAAACTTCAAGGTTGGAAATAGGGAACTGATGTCCCTGGAGGACAGGGAAAATCTGATGGTGAAAGTTGCTTCAGAGCTTGCACTAGAAGCCCATCAGAATAAACTCAAGAGTGGAAACTGCAGAAGCATGGTAGACTGGTTGTGGAGGGAAGAGTGGAATGAGAGGATATACTGGCTTCCTGTGCAACAATAGAAGAAAATAAAAAATAGTTACTACTTTGCTTTTCTGTAAGTGTACTAATAAATATGTTCTAGCAAAACAGACTAGTTACACAGCCTGAACTAGGTTACTTTGTAAGACTGACTAATTTAGACTACTTCTGTTTAAATGAAAGGAGGAAATATTTGAAAAATGAAAAGAGTAAAGAATATTTGGGGGATTATAAATGTGCATCATACTTAGAAAATGGAAGACTACCATTCAAGAGCGTTGAAACCAAACTTCAGTGTGTTACAGCTTGGCTACCACATGATATGTGAGCTCCTGGTGGATGTCACTTACCTGGCACAAAATACTACCATCCAGAGAGACTTAGGCTAGATCCGGATGAGCTGGCATAAGCATCCGTAGTTAGTGCGATGCTTTGCCCTAGATAATAAACTGTCATGGGTTAGGTTGAA